CCCCCCGGGACCCGGAATGATTTTCAGGCGATGAATTAGCGGCGGGTCTGCGGCGTACAGACAGAGAATGTAATCAGAGGGATCAGGAGCTGATCTGGATCACAATGTGTTGCCTGCAAAGGGGGCGAACATCAAGACTGAGGGGTTCACCTGACGTACGGACTGTCTGTGGGCGCCATAGGGATGTACTGCTATGATTATCCCATCCTATTGGGGTCAGCAGCCTACAATGGGGGGAGGAGTCACCAAGTAAAGGTAAAAGATGAGGAAGAGAAAGGCAGACAAGGCAAATGTACCAAGGACCTGACCTCTTGGTCTAAATGGGAGGTTTGGCTCCAGTGCTGGTCGGCTGCCATGTTGGAACATAAACATTTTGCATATGAAATTGTTTAAGAATTTGCACAATAAATCCAAATAGTTTAGTTTCTGTTATTTTGGAACCTTATGAGCTTATGCGGAGCACAGATTGTCAAATACCTCGCTGTAGAACATGGAGACCAAAGATATCTATACGTGCATGGCCCGCTTAACCGTCTCTTCACATTACACAGCAAGACTCTCCAAGGCAGCACTTCCTCCTGCCTGCAGCAGACTGATCACTGGGGGAGGGGAGAATGAGGAAATGCTTCCTCCTGCCTGCAGCAGACTGATCACTGGGGAGGGGAGACTGAGGAAATGCTTCCTCGTGCCTGCAGCACACTGATGACATCACCTCAGCCTAGGCAAAGTCAGTGATTGGAGGTTTCAGGTGGCTTTGTATAGTGATAAGAGGCGGAGCTTTTCTGAAGAATGATTCTGTTATATAAAAGCACAGTATATGGATTCAGCTGTAATCGACCTTCTCCCCCCTTTTCCTCCTCAGGGATTCAGTTTTGCTCCGAAAACGGATAGAATGCAGCGGCCTGACCCCCTCCGAGCTAATGGGACAGCAGATGAGCAGTCTGGCCGCCCCGCTGCCCCCGGACAAACAAGGTCAGTCTGTAGATGGCGCAATCCCGGCCGCCCGGGGGAACCAGGTCGGGGGCCCGATAGGCTGTGGCCTAGAGCGCCACCGTTCCTTTTGTTTCTGTTGCAGGGTGTGAAACATAAAGTCTGTGTTATTGTATAATAATAATACACGATAAAGCGCTGATAATATGGACAATAAAGTAATATGTAACAAAGTTATAAAACCTTCAATGTAACAACGCCGGAAAGTTAGAGGGACGGGAAGGGGCCACGGGGTGCTGGAAATCTCCACTGCAAATCGAAAACATACAAATGGAAAACGTTACAACAAAATCGTTCCGTTGATGTAAATAAGACAAGAAAGATGAGAGGAGGAAGGATGCCGGGGATGCCATATCCTGTGAAATAGTCCAGTGTTATCCTTTTGGATATGGGATCGTTTGTCCAGTTTAATGTAATCAGATACTCGCGGTTTCCTTTCTTCGGGTGTGGAGAGATTGTTCGATCTCCGGTATTTGGACAAAAGTCTGCAGTTTGGTCCATTTTCAGCCATTCCTTAAAGTGACAGTAAACTCAGGCGTTAAAATCTTAAAAATCTCTTTAAATGAGAACTATGAGG